AGTGTGGGGTTAAGAAGGCCACTCTCTGGGTTTTTAAATGGACTTTTACTGTGATTCATAGTGCACCAATCCATCAGTAGTGATTGCTCTTGCAGTTAATATTGTGTTCTTGGAACTCATGTCCAATTTCCTGAGCATGTGAGTTGAGGGTTTAGCTACTGAGATACACTCCCCAGTCCAGAGGGAATTAAATCTCAGTCCTATCAATCCCACTTGAATATTCAGAAGCTTCAAGAAAGTATATGGGTGATTAAAAAAATATAACCACTGCTCTAACCCCTGGTGTCTAAGAGATGCCTTTTTCAATATGACTTTCAGCATGACTCCTTTGAAAATTACAAATTCCAGGGCTGGAGAGATGGCTCAGTGGTTAAGAACACTGGATGTTCTTGCAGAAGACCCAGGTTCCAATCCCAGCACCCACATGACAGCTAACAACTGTCCATAACTCCAGTTCCAGGGGATCCGATAGCCTCCTCTGTCCTCTGCAGGCATTGCATGACATGGGTGCACTTACCTCCATGCAGGCAATACATGCATACACATAAAAATAATAAAGAAAATATTTTTTTTTTTTTAAAAAGAGCCAGGCGTGGTGGTCCATGCCTTTAATCCCAGCACTTGGGAGGCAGAGGCAGGCGGATCTTTGTGAGTTCAAGGCCAGGCCAGCCTGGTCCACATAGTGAGTTCCAGGACAGCTGGGGCTAAAGGAGACCCTGTCTCAAAAAGACCAAAAAAAAAATACAAATTCCACAGTAATGAATTTTAATATGAACAAATTAGATGAAATTCCAGGCAAAGAATTCCAGATTGATTATAGGAATGTTCAATAGAATGAAAGAGGACACAAACCCTGGAGTAAATTCAAAGAGAATACAAATAGCTGAATGAAATAAGGAAGCCCATATATGATAGGAATGAGGTGCTCAATAAAGAGTTGGAGGTACTAGAAAAAAAGGTTGAAATTTTGGAAGTGAAAAGTTCAGTAAGTGGAATAATATTGAGTGGAAATTCTTATCAATAGAATGGATCAAGTAGAAATGGAATATTGGGGCTTGAAAATGAGGGTGATGAAGTAGAACATTCAGACACCAGTAAAGATGAAATAGTAAGACAGTGCCAACAGGACAGGCAAAGTCTGTGGGATACCATTAAATGACCAATTTAAGATGGGTTGGTGGTACATCCCCATAATCCAGCACTTGGAAGGCAGAGGCAGGAGGATTAAGGGCAAGTTCACAGCCCTCCTGGTCTACACAGTGAGTTTCAGTCTAGCTAGGGCTCCACAGTGAGACCCTGTACCAAAAAAGAAAAGAAAAGAAATAAAATGAATCAGAAAGATTTATGAATCATTGGAAGAGATGAAGACGTATAAACCAAATGATTAGAAAGTAGGACTGGGGATATAACTCATTTGGTAGAGTGTTTGCTCTTTTTCTTTCTTCAAATCTACAGAAAGATATACCCATCCCTATACAGAGGCATTTAGAATGCCAAACAGAAAAGGCCAGTACAGAACTTGTCCCTCATATCATCTTGGAGTTAAAACACTAAGTGTACAGAACAGAGAAAGAACGCTGAGAGAGGAAGTCACATAGACAAACCCATCAGAATAACAACAGATTCCTTAACAGACACTGTTGAGAACATACAGCAATGTATTTCAAGCTCTGAAAGATGGGAACTGCCAACTAGCATACTGTATCTGGCAAAGCTGTCCTTCATCACTGAAGAAGAAAACGTTTGCATAAAAGAAAAGCTGTCCATAAAATTTAATCGAAGGAAAGATACTGCCACAAACAATTCTTGACCACTACACCAGTGCTACAGAGGATAATTGAAGGAATCCTACACAGTGAGGAGAAGAATGAGCACAACCGTGAGGTAACAGGAAAGGGTAAATGGACTAGAGTGATAAATACACCAATAAGGATTAGAAAGGTACCAAACATTTTTTTTAATTCCAAATGACAGGTGGGTGTGCCGGTGCATGCCTTTAATCCCAGCATTTGGGAGGCAGAGGCAGGTGGATCTCTGTAAGAGGCAAGTCTGGTCTACATAGTGAGTTCCAGGCCAGCTAGGGTTACAGAAGGCCCTGTCTCAAAAAGACAAAAAAAAAAAAAAAAATCCAAATGACAGGAATTAATATATATTTTTCAATAATAACTTTGAATGCTTTGATCCTTAATCAAAAGACAGAAGATTGCTGTAAAAAATGGTACTCATCAATTTGTTGCCTGCAGGAAACACAACTCACTGGCAAAGATAGAGTCTTGGGTGAACAGATAAATGTTACTTCTTGATTAAAGGAACAATCCATCAAGAAGATGTAACAATTCTAAACATATACACATTGAACATTACTCCACCAAATTTAATAAATACTATTGGATGAAAAGGCACAGATTGACCTCTACACGGTCATAGTGAGTGACTCTAGTACTACACTTTCCCCAATAAACAGGTTATCTAGACATAAAAATAAACATCAGAGTTAAATGACATTGTAGAGTGAATGGACTCAGCAGACATCTATAGAATATTCTACCTAGATACCCTGGAATACACATTTTCAGCAGCCCATGAAACATTCTATAAAATAGAACATATTTTAAGGCTTGAAGCAAACCTTAACAAATACAAGGAAATTGAAATATATATTTATTTTTGGGTCTTAATGTCCATCAACAGATGAGTAAATAAAGAAAATGTAGTTTATACATGAGTTTTATTTAGCCATAAAGAGCAAAATTGTCATTTCCAGGAAAATGGATGCAATTATAGATCATATTCAGCAAAATAAGATGGACTCAGACAAATATGGTTTCTCTCATGGATTCTAAATTTTATATAGATACATAAAAATGCGTGTGTGTGTGTGTGTGTGTGTCTGTCTGTCTGTCTGTCTTAAAACTTGAGACCAGGTCACCTTCGCAGCCTCCTGTGTCTCTCCACTCCCTTTCAGTCTGTCTCCTCTCCCACCTTCCTAGTCTGGCAGCCACTAGCCGAGCTTGCAGCTTTCCCGGCTCTCAGACATGACCAACACCAAGGCCAGCCCCGAGTATGCTTCGTTTTCCACTGTCCTAGGCAGGCACCTCGTCCACCAGAGAGTAGTGTGGTATTGAAGCTGTGGGTCAAGCGGCCAGAGCTGATCATGAAGCCCATCATCCCGGTGGTTATGACTGGCATCATTGCTATCTGTGGCCTGGTGGTGGCGTCCTTATCACCAATTCCCTGACCCATGGCATCACGCTCAGCAGGAGTTTCCTCCAGCTGGATGCTGGCCTGACTGTGGGGCTGCGTGGCCTGGCAGCCAGCTTTGCCATTAGCGTTGTGGGTGATGCTGGTGTGTGGGGATTGTTCATGGGCATGATTCTGATCCTCATCGTCTTGGCCTCTGCAGTCTCATCGTGGCCCTCATCCTCTCCACAAAGTAGCCTTTTTCTGAGCCCTCCAGCCATAGAACACAATGTAAAGACCACCCCTCCTCACCGGAATGAACAGCTAGACACACACACACGGGCAGCTGCCTCCTCCATAGTGGGTCTTGTAAGTGCACAGTGTCCTAGTGTCCATTGTCCTTTGCCCTCTCCTGGCCCCTGTGGCCTGGTGCTGTGGACATCTGGGTCCATTTATCCCCTATCCAGCCCCTGACTAGTGAGGATGCCTGCCAGTGGCTACTGCACCCATCACCCTAGAGTGTTCTGTGTGTAAGGATGATTATAGAGTTGTCCTTTTTCTCTTCACTGGATGTTCTTTAGTAAAAGATTTGACTTGTTCAATGCATCTGTGGAGCAGCCCTGTCTCCCAGCTATATCATAACCATTAGTAGAGGTTGCTTTGTGGTGTTCCCATTGCTGAGACTCCTTGGATGAAGCCACACTCTTCCCAGACCTGGGCAGCCAGGCTGGAGGGCAGAGTGCTGCTGCTCACCAGGGCTAGCACCGAGCTGTGTTCACTAAAGTTCTCGGATGTGAAAAAAAACCCCAAACCCCTTGAAACCGAATGGGGGAGTGAGTAGTGGGAGACTAGAGAAAGAGGAAGGTATGGAGGTGACTATGGTCAAACATACTCGGAAATGTATACAAAACCCCTTACTGTGTGCAATGAATATACACCAAGAAAAACATAAAATAACCTTCAATTATTATTTCTAGATTTTGGCTAACTTCCAGATTCACATGGGACCAACACCCTCATTACTTAGCTAAGGAGGTCATGCCCGGTGTCATGGAGGACCAAGGCAGAGGATGGTTACTGTATATCTCATGGTTACTAGAAGAGGGGTTGACTGCCTTCTGAGGGTTGCTAAGTTTCTATAAATTTGACACCATGGACAGATGAGCATGTGCTTAGGTATGGGTATTCTGTTTTGAAAGAGATCCTTTTCATAAATTTAAGGCACATACTGATTATTCCTAGTTTTGGACCTACTCTGAATTTACACACCCTCGTTGCCTGGACGCCTAAACTGACTACAGCACTTGCAATCCTGTATTATCATAGATAGTTCAAAACCTCAACTTTCATTCCTGATTCTTTTTAGCATATTGGTTTCTTCCTGATTATTGTTTCCATCTAAGCCTAAATATAAATCAGGCATGGTAGTGCACCACCTGTAATCCAGGCACTTAGGAGGCTAATATAAGGATTTCCAACTGGAGGCCAGCCAGGGCTACAAAGGGACTTGGTCTCAAAATAAGCAAACAAACCAAAAACCCACAAACAAAAACATTGAAACATAAAATTATATCAGTTTTATAGAGATTCTTAAAACCCTTATTATGAAATCTTGAATGCGTGCAACCATAAATAATAGCTCCCCCGTTTTATGTTTTCACATGTGACATATTCTATTCTTGCACCCATTTTAAAACAAAGTTGGTGCTGAACTCACTGACCGAAACAGTAGAAATGGTGAGTACCTGTATATAAAGTATTACTAGAACAGCATGTCCTAGATGTGCAAATCAAAATTATATTTTAAACTGTTTTTACAGACGAAATGCCAGCATTACAAGAAAAAACTAATAGAGCTAGAAGACACCATTTCATGTTTGCAAAAGGATATCCACAGACTAACAAAGGAGGAAGAAGAGCGTGTTGTCACTCAGAACAGAGTGTTCGCCTATCTCTGCAAAAGGGTTCCTCATACAGTCTTGGATAAACAGTAACTAATGCTTAGTACTTAGGATGATAATGTAACTAGGTTTTGTTGTTGTTGTTGTTGTTTAAAGCTGTTTTATCTTGAAGGTGGCATGTCTCTTGTAGAGTTTTCTCCTCATTTTTTAAAAAAGTTTATCCTGTATCTTATTTTTCCTTAGAGCTATTTTGAGAAATGAATTTAGACATTTATTTTAAAAGTACTAAACATGGGACCAGCAAGATAGCTCAGTAGGTAAGGGAGCTTACTGCCAAGCCTACCAGCCTGAGTTTAATCCCTGGGACTCACATGATAGAAAATCTAGAGAGCTGATTTCTGCAAGTCTTCCTCTGACTTCCAACATATGCACCATAGCATATACACCTTTGTACACACAAATAACGAATAATATTTACATTTAAAACAAATTTTAAAAATACTTAACATTTAAAATTAAATTTCTAATTCAAAAAAATTATATTTATGTTGTATGTATGTATTCATGTGGTGTGGCACACCATGTCTCAGAGGATAACTTGATGAGTCAATTTTCTTACATCACGTGACTTCTGGGGATTAAACTTCGGTCATCAGACTTGGCAGCAACCACCATTACCTGCTCAGTCATCTCACCCCCCCCACACACACCTTCTTTTAAATAGATGCATGCACTGAGAAGACTTCCCCCTTCAGATCACATGACGCCTTTAATTTGTCCCACCAAATTTCTACTTTTTTTTCTTTTAGACAGGGTCTCTCTGTAGCCCCAGCTGTCCTGGAACTCACTTTGTAGACCAGGCTGGCCTTGAACTCACAGAGATGCACCTGCCTCTGCCTCCCAAGTGCCAGGATTAAAGGTGTGCGCCACCATGCCTGACTTAAATTTCTACTTTTTAAGCCTGCTTTAAAATGTTTTGTTTGTTTGCTTTTGTTTCTTGTTCATCTGTTTTGGTCTTTTTGAGACAGGGTCTCCTGCAGCCACAACTGACCTGAACTCACTTTGTAGACCAGGTTGACCTCAAACAGAGATCCACCTGCCTCTGCCTCCCCATTTGCCCAGGCTTGTTTTTGTTTTTTTGAGACAGGGTCTCTCTATCTCCCCAGCTGGCCTGGAAGTCACTATGTAGATCTGGCTGGCCTGAATCTTATGGAGATTTACCTACCTCTGCCTGGGATTAAAGGCATATACTACCACATCTGGCTTTAAAATTGAATTTTAACTGGTACACAAAAACATAAATATTGGATTGGCAAAATCGCTCAGTCATTGAGTAAAAGCATTTGCTTATACAGCTTGACAACTTGATGCCCAGAACCAACTCATGGCAGAAGAACCAACTTGCATGTAAGGTTAATGATCTGAGGTCAGTCTCCAAGGTGGCAAGAGAGAACTGACTCCTGAGAGTTGTCCTCTGATCCCCACAGACAGACTGTGCCGCACACACACACACACACACACACACACACACACACACACACACGAGAACAGTGATGCCCTGAACAACTTACTGGGTTGCTTCCTTGGGCAAATATTCCTGTGGGAGATTGCTAGATATAGAAGTGTTGGGACATTTTTTAAGTTGAAACATATTTATAAATATTTATACTCTATTAATTGAAATTAATATATATGGCTTACTGTAATATATTCCAAGGCAGGGCCTTACTGTGTAGTCCTAGCTGGCCTAGAACTCACAGAGATTCACCTTCCACCAGAGTGCTAGGATTAAAGGTGTGTTCCACCATGCCCAGCTGATTTAATTTCTTTAAGTTTGCCAGACAATCTGTACTTATTGTTATCATTATAATTTGAAGTTATTAGAGAATAGTAGATAATACTGTCTTTTAAAAATGTGCCTTTTTTGTTTTCTAGGTTGCTTTGCCTAATTGATTACTATGAATCTAAAATTAGAAAAATCCACACACAAAGGTATTATAATTTTTTTTTGGTCTTTTTTTCTCCCTATAGCCCAGTTGGCTTGGAATTTACAGTGCAGACCAGACAGACCTTGAACTCACAGAGATCTGCTTGCCTTTGCCTCTCAGTCCTGGGATTAAAGGTGTGTGCCACCATGCCTAGTCAGAAATTTGGGTTTTTAATTCCTGTTAAGGTTATTAAGCTCTTAATAGATTGGCTTAATTTTCATTAGCTAGATTTTTTTTAAAGGATGATTTATCGTAAGATGCAGTGTGTTTATCTTTTTATAGGCAATATAAGGAAGATGAAAGTCAGTCAGAAGAAGACAAAGACTACAGAAATATGGATGCCTCACCATGTTATAAAGGCCTTCTAACGGTATGGGCTCTGTATAACTAATTAATACTTTTTTTTTAATAAACTAAAACAATCACATAGGAAAGTTACTTTACTGTGAAATGTATTTCAGTCATTACACAATCAACTCCAGGAGTCAAAATCCAAGATTGATGCACTTTTAAGTGAAAAGCTGAAACTCCAAAAAGATTTGGAAAGCAGGTGAGTAAAATAAGTAATTTTTCTTTATCCTTTGGAATGTTGAATTAATCATTCTTGCCCCTTTACTCTGAAACTTGGATACTTGACACTCTTATTTTTATTTTGGTCAGTTGTCTTTCATGGCAGATGATGAAAGGAATAGAAATTCTTAGGCGGGCAAGGGAAATAAGACTTATACTTTAATGAAGAAAGATCATTAAATGGTTTACAGAATAAAGTCTGAAAACCTGCTGGTTTTATATTTATATATATATATATATGTATGGTTTTGGTTAAATATATATATAAAGATGTATTAAGAATTTTAAAGCATGCTTGGGAGTAATGAACAATTCAGGATATTGGTAACCTATGGTATGGGAGGGACAGGAATTAATGAAGAACATGCAATATCTTAAGTATAGGTATATTTTAGCTTAAAAAGATTTAAATCCATTAATATTGAATAAAGTGGAGTGGTAGATACACCACAAGTTACAAATTAATACAAAAATAAATAAAAGCTGTAAATAAGGAATTATAGAAGAAATCAAAATGGCTAGTAAACACCTCAATAATGAAGAATTAAGAATTTTAATAAGTTTACTTGTGAAAAGAGATCCTTTATTATTTGATAAGTACTTTTGCCATTTTATTCAATAAATTGAATATATTCAACATGATTTATTTTCTACAGGCCCACAGAGCATGAATTAAGACTTTATAAACAACAGGTGAAGAAACTGGAAAAAGCCCTTAAGAAAAGCATCAAGTAATTACATTTTCTCAAAGTCACAGCTTTTGTTTGCATACTGTAATTTTTCTTTGTTCCTTTTTATTTTGTGTGTATGAGTGTCTTGCCTGCATGTAGGTAAGTGTACCAATGTTGTGCAACCCCTGTGGAGTCCAGAAGAGGGCATCAGATCCCCTGGAAGTGGAGTTAAGAACAGTTGTTAGCCACCATATGGGTGCCTAGGCTTTTGGTGGATATGACATGAGGAGTATTTTTGAGTGAGGTGTGGTGACACAACCTATAAATCTCATCACTGTGGAGGTCGCAGGAGGAGGATAACAAATTTGAGGCTAGCCTGGGCTATATGACAAGACCCTGTCTCAAAAAACAAAAGTAACCAAGACAAAAAGGGCAATTTTTCTGGTTGTAACAATTTAAAAGCAATTTGGACTTGGCTTTATTTTTTACTTTTCTTAACATTTTTTAATTTTTATTTTATGTGTATGAGTGTATTGCCTGCATGTATGTTGTGCAGTGCCTACAGAGGTCAGAAGAGGGCGTCAGATCCCTGGAATTGGAGTTAGAATGGTTGTTAGCCACTATGTGGGTACTGGGAATGAAACCCAGGTCCTCTGCAAGAGCAGCCACTGAGCCATTTCTCTAGCCCCCTACTTTTTTTTTTAACTGAGAATTTTTATTGATATATATGTATATATATATGATGAAATATATATAATGAAATATGATCATATATACCCCTTTCTCCCTTCTAACTCCTCCAATATCCTCTAGCCAACTTCATGTGTTTTTTTAAATAACTTACTAAGCCCAGTTGGTGCTCCCAATATGTGCATGAGTTGAGGCTGTCCACTGGAGTATGGGAATCCTATCAGTATGGGAATCCTATCAGTGGCCACATCCTCAAAAAAGAGTGATTCCCATGATCTTATGTAAGTAACCTCAGCTGTTGTGAGTTCACAACTGTGATCACCATGTCATGTCTACAAGACAGCATTCCTCCCCATTCTCTGGCTCTTACATTCTTTCAATCACCTTTTCCCTGATGTTTCCTGAGCCTTTGTGTGGGATATGGGGTGATAAAGATGGCCTGTTTAGGGCTGATTACTCAGTCACTTATTCTCAGCACTTTGACCAGTTACTCATTTCTTCATTGATACTGCCCATTGCAAAAAGAAGCTTTTCTAACAAACCCATGTTTTGGAAGTGACATTGTCCGCCCATGCAGGTCACTTACTTTCAAAATCTTTTTTTTAAGGTGTATTTTGAAATTTGCTTACTCACTAATGGGTTTCCATAAGGCTGTTTCATACATGTTTGGGTTTGGTTAACCTATCACCTTCATCTTCCTACCCCCATCCCTGCTTAACCCTTTAACCTTAGGTAATCTGCCCCCCTCCTCTCATTTCACATGTGCTCTACTCTCCAATTATTTTTTAATTGGGTTATGAGATAGTAGACTCTGTGCTAGTTACTTTCTATTACTGTGATTAAAAACACTGACCAAACCACATGGAGGGGAAAGGGTTTATCCTACACTGCCCAGGTTCATCACTGAGGGAAGTCAGGCCAGGAACTCAGGGCAGGAACCTGGAGGCAGGAACTAAAGCACAGACCATGGAGGAATGTTGCTTACTGGCTATTTCATCTATCCTTTGTTTGGCCTGCTTTCTTATTCAACCTAGGATCACCTGCCCAGCGTGTCATGGCCCACAGTGGGCTGGGCCCTCCACATTACTCAACAATCAAGAAAATGCCCTATAGACATGGCCACAGGCCAGTTCAATGGTGAAAATTTCTCAGTTGAGATTCTCTCTACTCTAGTTGTCAAATCGACAACTGAAGCTATCCCACACAGCTTCCACATGGGTTTTCATGTACCCTTCCTTTGGTTTTGCCCTGTCCTTCACCTGGCTTCCCCCATACATATGTGTACTTCCTTGCCCCATTAGTCTACCTCTCTACTTTCATTTTATCTATAATCTACTATCCCCCCTTCTTTAATGTGTTCCCCCCTCCCCCCCGACAGGCCCCTTTTTGGTTTCCTGGCTTCCACTTAATGCTCCAAGTTAAACACACAAAAGATTTGAAGCTGGGACTGCATATGAGAAAGAACATGAAACATTTTTCTTTCTCCTGGACTTGGGTTTGTAGTTACATTAATTACATATAGAAATAAAAGAATAAAAGAGACGAAGATTTTTAATAGAAAATTATCTTTAGAAATGGAAGATTTGCAAGAGAAACAATAACATTAGAGTGGTATGCCCTATATTTTGTTGTTGGTAATCATGTTCTAAAGATCTTTTTTTTTTTTTTTCTTTTTTGTCTTTTTGAGACAGGGTCTCCCTGTAGTCCCAGCTGTCCTGGAACTCACTATGCAGACCAGGCTGGCCTTGAACTCACAGAGATCCGCCTGCCTCTGCCTCCCAAGTGCTGGGATTAAAGGTGTGTGCCACCACGCTTGGCTGAAGATCTTATTTTTAACTATTGGTGCTAGGGATTGAACCTAAGACCTTGACATGCTCTATCACCAAGGTACATCTCCAGCATGATCTGAAAAATATAAAGCTTTGTCACTTTAAAAGTACCAGAAGACACATAGTGAACCATCCCTATCTCCCCCTGCTTTGAAAAGTTATTTGAAATGTTGATCTTGGGCTGGACATAGTGGTACAAACCTTTAGTCCCAGCACTCGGAAGGTAGAGGCAAGCAGATCTCTGTGAGATTCCAGCCTGGGCAACATAGTGAGTTCCAGGCCAGCTAGGGCTACAGAGAGACCCTGTCTTAAAAAACAAACAAAAAAGTTGATTTAAATAGTGATGACATTTCCTAAAGATTATGTGTCTATTCTTTTTTAAAAAATTTTTTTATTATTTTTATTTAGTGTGTATGAGTGTACTGCCTACATATAGGTAGGTATACCTGTGTTGTGCAATTCTCACGGAGGTCAGAAGAGGGCATTGGATCCACTAGATGGTTAGCTGCCATGTGGGTGCTGGGATTCAAGCCCAGGTCTTCTGCAAGAATAGCCAGTGCTCTTAACCACCGAGCCACCTCTCCAGCCCATGTGTCTATTCTTGATTCAAAAGTTGGGAAGCAATGGGATGAAGTATTTATTTTTATTTTTATGTGTATTGAGTGTATTGCCTGCATGTATGTCATGCCCACGGAGGTCAGAAGAGGGCATTGGATTCCCTAGAACTAGTTAGGGATGGTTGTTAGCCACCATGTGCATGCTGAGAACCTATCCTGGGTTTTCTGCAAGGGCAGCCAGTGCCCTTAACTGCTGAGCCATCTCTCTAGTCCCTGTGGTGAAATAATTTGAAAATCTGTTAGTCAACTGTTGTAGTATATATTCAGTGATAGCTATTCTTCCTCCTTCCTATGGCAACATTTATCACAGTGAAAAGGAAACATGGGCAATCAGGAATTATACATTGAAATGTTTTGGGGAAGGAAAACTAAATTAAGGTTGCATTTATTCAGTGAATACCCCTTCCTACTGTTGCTGGACATTTTGGCTACCTATTAGTACTTCCTAGGATCTACTTGGTATTCTAGACACTGAAGATCCGGTGGTAAGCCAAATAGAAAAGATCCCTGACCTCATAGAGATGACACAAAGGGAAAGAATAAGCCAATTTAAATAGTATAAATACCATAAAAATATTTTTTAAAGGGCTAGTTGGATGTTGGTTCAGTGTGTAAAGCACTTATCACACAAGCCTTGATGCAGTCTATAGAGTTCACGTTCTTTTCTTCCTAGATAAAAGAATTAAAAGGCAAGAAAGGATTCAGAGTTCAGCAGAGCCAAAGTTTTACTCAAAGTGAAAGTAGCAAGTGAGAACATATGTCTTGCAAAAGGAGGAGCCCTGGGGTCAGGAAGTTTATCTCTGGTGGTTTTTATTGAGTTCTGTAGCATGTCCAGTACCCAAATTCAATTGGAAATCCCTGAGGACATGCATACTTTTCAGCTCAGGGATTGGGTACCCTGCTTCAGGACACAGGTCAAGTCAGGAAGTTACTTTGACTTGAGTTACTTTGAGGCTCTTGGTTCACAAGGTCTCAGATCATCGTCCATCAGCCTTGGTACTTTCTGTGCATATCTCCGTGAGTACCTGTTTTCTAGTGTCAGACACACTTGGATAGATGAGTTAATTTTTGGCTATGGCACAGCTGCCATTATACCCAACACTCATCTTAGGACGTGCTGCTTTAAAATAACTACCTACTAGAGCTGGAGAGATGGCTCAGCAGTTAAGAGTACTGACTGCTCTTGCAGAGGACCTGGGTTTGAATCCCAGCACCCACATGGTATCTAATAACCATCCATAGCTCCAGTTCCAGGAGATCCAGTGCCCTCTTCTGACTTCTGCGGGCACTGCATGATATGGGTGCACTTACATACATGCAGGCAATACACTCATACACACAAAAATAATAAAAATATTTTAAGAAATATCTACCTAGGGCTCGTCTTCCCTGTCTGCCTAACAAGGAGAACTACTGAACTGATTTCCTTCATTCCCTCCCTCAAAGGTAACCCTAACTGTTAAAGGATTGGGTTGATGATCTCTCTTTTCTGCTTCCTGCTAATGGAGTGAGTGGAGTCATAAAACAGCCATCAGGATCTCTTCACTGTGTGTGGGGTGGGGGGCGCTGTCTAGGAGCCCATGAGATAAATTCCATGTGGTGGTGGATTGACCTGTCATCTTAGTCTTAGGTGCCAGTAGATTTCTTTCCTTGTCTTGTGCTCCTGTTATTTGGGCTAACATCTAAAACACATTTAAAATATGATTGAGAGTATTATGATGAAAGCAGTGAGATGGGGTATCTGTCCCATCTCCGGCAAGGGCATTGATGAGGGAAACAGCCAGCCAGTGAATCCCCAGTATGTTAGTCATTGGCATTAACAAAACCGAGAATGTCTTTTCCTCCCTTGTCGATTATGTGTATCTTGTGGAATGGTGTATTGGCTTTTCTGAGAATTTTGATCAGCTTATTTTCTATCAACTCT